ACCCGTAACCGACTTCGGGTGGGGTGGGGTTTACCATTGCGAATGAAACCGTATTGGTTTACCCTGAAGGGGCCGGGGGGGGGGGCGGAATCCGCCCCTCCCCCTCAACATTTTCCGTGATAGCCGTGAAAACTGAATTTTCGCATATACGTCGTGTACACAGAGCAGAATTGCCATTCGTACATATGAATAATTAATTAGCCATAATTCCAAAACCCTTTGACCTATAGTCATGAAATTTCTTGGGTATGTTTAGGAAGAGTTGCTCTATGCAATCAGCCCACCCCCCCCCCACCCCCGGCTGAGAGATGGTCAAAATAACCCGGCCCCTTTAGGGTTAAATTAATATTACATAACACACCATAGAATTTCAAGTGTCCTGAGCAATTATTTTTTACCTATATAAGTTCCCTTAACATTTTCATGGAATTTAATAACACAAGTAAAACATCACATGTAAATTCTACAACACTATATAGATCTTCCACATTACAGTAAACATATCTTTACAAGCCTGATAACACATCCCAATAATTTCAGTTTACAGCCAAATTAAGTTGCCAACTTGACAAGCTTATTATACCGCCTTTAAGATCTCACCAGGATCACAATGTAAAGATTACAAGGCGAAAGGCTTTCCTTGTTTTAGCTGTTTACAATATTTTGGTAACTTATTTTAGTATGCCGTTCGATGAGAAATCAACACGAATTATATTTTAAAGATTGATTTAAATTCTAATATTAATGGTCTCAGACTATACTTGGTTTCAGCAACAAAATTAATGCTGCCTGTTCAGTGTGAACGTGTACGCATGCTGAACAGACCAAATTAAACAACCGACTTGGACCCAGTCTAAATTCAGCTCCAGTGTGAAACAAGCGAAATATATAAAGCTCTTCTTAAGGAATATATGTCTATAATTACTGCTAAAAACAAAATCATTCGCGATCATTAAAGAACATCATTTTCTTTAAATAGATATCGTTCAGAAAAAAAAAGACAATTTCAGTAATAACAGAGATAGTAGTTTTTACGTTTAATGCAATTTGAAAGGTTTGCATGATGCAGTGAGCAATAAGAGAACATTTTTTTGTAAGTTTGTGAAGTTCTGAAAACTGCCCTGTTGGGGGATCACCACGTTTCGACACATTTGCATATACTTTTTGATTTGAATTGGATTTGAAATATTCCGAAATGATATCGCGCAGACAATTACAACATTTTTTCCTCATAGTGATTATAGATTGACATCCCGCATGTGACATTTGTAATGTCCATTCGTAATTTGCGTTTAATCATCTATCTTCCACTTTGTATGGATTGTAAGTGTTAATAAGCGCAGCTGTCGCGGAGGCTGGTTTCACCTTCTCAAATCGCAGGGAGCTGCCTACCACACCATTGATCATTCCATTCCCCATTAGAAAATACATGAGCGCAGTCCTCATCAGCTCCTTGACCGTTATTGGGTTCACCAGGCCCCCAATTCCTGAACCCCACCTCATCGGTACCGTCCTGACACTTCCATGTACCTACCAAAAACAATCAATGTATCACGATAAGAGTTCAATTGGGTGGGATTGACAAGGTAACGACAATTATGTCGGAAATCCAATTTTCCAGCAACTGAACTAATCACGATTGAGATTTTTAGCAATTCAATCAAACTAGAAAGAGCAACAAACCTTCTTCCTCAAGATCGTTGCAATTGATCCAAAACCAGGGTGGCACTAGGCGTATGAGGAAATCAGTTTCCTCCTGAAACTGTGGCACGACCAAGACACCTCCCATCTTGATGCACTCATCTTTTGCCTCAAACCATGTCAGGCGTTCCATGACGGCTCTGTAACATTTGCCACCCCACTGGATCCAAGGAGGAGGACACGCCCACCGACGGCCACTACTGGAGGTCTTACACATCTCGTTACCACCAGTGCGACCCATCATCAGATGAAGGCTTATCAAGCCAAAGATGAACCGTTTAGGCACCATCATCTTTCGCATCTTACCCGGCTGGTGTCTAGTGGTGAAATGGTTAGTCTGTATGTCATAGTGAATCATCATAGGCCTAGGCCTATATATGCATTAAATCTCTGTTCGGGTATATTCTTAACGGAAATAAGATATTTTCTTTTAATTAAGAGAGTGAAGATAGCAAAGCACGCTGGAAACTCCTCCTTTTGTATCATCGACAGTGTAAGCTAGAGCGGTATATCGATCTGTGCTTTGAGTATTGCAACTCCCGTTGGTATAGTTACCGAGATGAAGTATTGTATTTTTGTCAATTGTTTCTGCCCGGTTTCATTACCGTGAAGATGAAGGAACGCTTCGAATGGGAGGCTAATTTAGACAGCGACTGGCAATGGCGACGAATCTTTAACCAGCGTAAATCACAACATTTAACCCAAATATTGTTCAGCATCCCCTCGTTTTGATTTTTTTTTCATGGTAAGTCGAACGTTCATTCACAACCACGTGAATGTCATTACAGAGTGCTTTTGAAGCCAGTGACAGTCTTCCAGATTGCTTTTAATATTTAATTCCTTAAAACTGTAACCACACAGTATTCCACATGAGTTATATCATTACCCCCCCCCCCCCCCAGTTATTTTGCTGTGATAAAACTACTTTGCTTCAGGACCCAAAGTGGAATGCAGAAACAAATTCTCACAATTGATTTTGTTTATCAAAGTGATCGGTTAAATACAATATAATGTCATTTTTTTTTTTTTGGGGGGGGGGGGGTTCCACTGCGGAGGGTACCACCAAAATCACAGACAACGTTATTTTAGAAACGTTGTTGTGGTGTTACAACTGTGCGATTTTTAGTAGATTTAATGTTCTTGTTGAGTGACAAATACGATTTCCCTCTGTAATGTCTTGCAATCAACAACTTCATTCTGATGATGACCATAAACGTTTAAAGACAATCTGCATGCATACAAACAGCCTTTCAAAACCAATGATATAAAACGTTTGTGAAGTCAAAACTATTTTACGGCACAAGTACAAGTATACAATAACATCTCCAATTAAAAGATACTTCAGAATAATTCACAGTGATTCGATCTAAGTTATTTCAACGAATTATACAGACAGTTGACTTTCACATATGTATTAGGGTTTCGAGAATACTAGTCAATGAACTAGGTGCACCTTTGATTGGGTGTTCTATCTCTTACGTTTCAAAAAGTCATGACAAACGCCATTGCTCTATACAGTTGTATTCATTTTTGTTCATAACTTAAAGTCTATGTGAAATCAATTAAGTCTGACAACACTTACATTCAAAAGTAATACGTCTCATCAATAATAATTTTGCTTAAACATCTGTTATTTCAATAAGAGTTGAACATTGACATCTTCTTAGTTTCCTCATTTACAAAAACAGCACATCAATAATTTCTTAAGTGGCTAATTATAAATGCAGTGCAATTTGCTCTAATACATCGGTCATACTGTTCAAGGGCCGTGGTATACCTTAATTTGATGAGGCTTTCTATCTGTTAGGCTTTCAACAGCCAATTTTGTATGCAGCTGTATTCTTTTTTACAATTTAAAGTATCAACACACCATACTTACGGATTTTATATACAAATGTGATACAATACATCCAAACTGATTTTCTCAATTCCTCATTTACAAACACAGAACATTGATAATGTTTTATTAAGTAGCTTATTATACGTGCAGTTTGTTAGAATGTTCTTTACTAAGATTAAATATAATTCAATGAACACAATAAAATATAGGAAATATTATTAGTTCTGTTGCTATTGTACGACAAATTTGCGTTTCTCGACAATCACATTTGATCACTTGCTATATAATCACTTGAAATATTTAAAATTGTCGACGAAAATTTTCATGATTTCATTACGAGTCAATTTGATTAATCATACTGATGGCTTTATATTTTAACGATTCTATCTGTTTTGGATTAACTTAAACCTTATTATATGTTGTTTACCATTGTGAGTGATACCGTATTGATTAAATTTATATTACATAACACATCATAGATTTTCAAGTGTCCTGAACAACATTGTTTCATCTATATACCTTTCCTTAACATTTTCATGGAATTTAATTACACACGTACTAAAAGCATCACATGTAAATTCTACAACTCTAGTTCTTCCACATTACAGTAAACATATCTTTACAAGCCTTATAACACATCCCAATAATTTCAGTTTACAGCCAAATTAAGTTGCCAACTTGACAAGCTTATAATACCGCCTTTAAGATATCACCAGGATCACAATGTAAAGATAGCAAGCGAAAGGCTTTCCTTGTTTTAGCTGTTGACAATTATTGGTAATATATTTTAACATGCCGTTCGATGAGTAGTCAGCACGAATTCTATTTTACTCTTTGCTTTAAGTTCTATTATATATGGTTATAGACTATACTTGATTTCAGCAAAAAAAATATGGTGCCTGTACAGTGTGTGTACGTGTACGCATGCTGAACAGACCAAGTTGAACAACCGACTTGGGCCCAGTGTAAATTCAGCTACAGTGTGAAACAAGCGAAATATATAAAGCTCTTATTAAAGAATATATGTCTACAATTAATGCTAAAAAAAAATCATTCAACATCATTTTCTTTAAATAGATATCGCTCAGAAAAAAAAATTCGACAATTTCAGTAATATTGAGGACAGTAGTTTTTAGTACAATTTGTAGTTTTAATACAATTTGAAAGGTTTGCATGATGTAGTGAGCAATAAGAGTACATTTTATGTTAGATCACAAAAAAAATTTCTGTTATAACAAGTTCTGAAAACTGCCCTGTTGGGGGATCACCACGTTTCGACACATTTGCATATACTTTGACGGGGGATTTGAAATATTCCGAAAGGACATCGCGCAGACAATTATGTTAACATCCTTTCCTCATAGTGATTATAGATTGGAATCCCGCATGTGACATTTGCAATGTCCATTCGTAATTTGCGTTTAATCATCTATCTTCCACTTTGTATGGATTATAAGTGTTAATAAGCGCAGCTGTCGCGGAGGCTGGTTTCACCTTTGCAAATCGCAGGTAGCTGCTTGTCACACAGGTTATCATTCCATTTCCCACCAGACAATACCTGAGCGCAGTCCTCAGTTCCTCGTTTGTCATTGGGTTCACCAGTCGCCCAATTCCTGAACTCCACCTCATCGGTACCGTCCCAACACTTCCATGTACCTACCAAAACAATCGATGTATCACCATAAGATTTCAATTTGGGTGAGATTGACAAGGTAATTATGTTTGAAATCAAATTTTCCATCAACTGAACCAATCACGATTGTGATTTTTAAAATTTAAACAAACTAGAAAGAGCAACAAACCTTCTTCCTCAAGATCATTGCAATTGATCCAAAACCAGGGTGGCACTAGGCGTATGAGGAAATCAGTTTCCTTCTGAGACTGTGGCACGACCAAGACACTGCCAAAATTGATGCACTCATCTTTTGCTTGCAACCATGTCAGGTGTTCCATGACGGCTCTGTAGCATTTGCCACCCCACTGGATCCAAGGAGGAGGACACGCCCACCGACGGCCACTACCGGAGGCCTTACATATCTCGTTACCACCAGTGCGACCCATCATCAGATGAAGGATTATCAAGCCAAAGATGAACCGTTTAGACACCATCATCTCTCACATCTTACCCGGCTGGTGTCTAGTGGTGAAATGATCTGACTGTATGTCATAGTGAATCATCATAGGCCTAGGCCTATAGATTCATCAGATCTCTGTTCAGTTATATTCTTAACGGAAATAAGATATTTTCTTTTAATTAAGAGAGTGAAGATAGAAAGCACGCTGGAAACTCCTCCTTTTGTATCATCCACAGTGGAAGCTAGAGCGGTATATCGACCTGTGCTTTGAGTAAACTACTGCAACTCCCGTTGGTATAGTTACCGAGATGGATTGTATTTCTGTCAATTGTTTCTTCCCAGTTTCAATACTGTGAGGAGGAACACTTCGAATAGGAGGCCAATTGAGACATCGATGGGAAATGGCGACGCATCTTTAACCAGGTTGCATCACAAACAGCAACCCAAATATTGTTCAGCATCCCCTCGCTTTTAAGTCAAGCGTTCATTCACAACCACGTGAATGTCATTACAGAGTGCTTTTGAAGCCAGTGACAGTCTTCCAGATTGCTTTTAATATTTAATTCCTTAAAACTGTAACCACACATTAGTATTCCACATGAGTTATATCATTACCCCCTTAGTTATTTTGCTGTGATAAAACTACTTTGCTTCAGTACCCAAAGTGAAATGCAGCAACAAATTCTCACAATTGATTTTATTTATCAAAGTGATCGGTTAAATAAAATATAATGTCATATTTGTTTTGTTGTTGTTGGTTTTTTTTCACTGCGGAGGGTACCACCAAAATCACAAACAAAGTTATTTTACACACGCTGTTGTGACAAATACGATTTCCCTCTGTAATGTCTTGCAATGAAAAACTTCATTCTGATGATAACCATGAACGTTTAAAGACAATCTGCATGCATACAAACAGCCTTTCAAAACCAATGATATAAAACTTTGGTGAAGTCAAAACTATTTTACGGTACAAGCACAAGTATACAATAACATCTTGAATTAAAAGATATGTTTAGAATAATTCTCAGTGATTCGATCTAAGTTATTTCAACGAATAATACAGACAGTTGACTTTCACATATGTATTAGGGTTTCGATAAAACTATTCAATGGACTAGGTGCACCTTTGATTGGGTGTTCTATCTCTTACGTTTAAAAAAATCATGACATATGCCATTGCTTTATACAGTTGTATTCATTTTTGTTCATAACTTAAAGTCTATGTGAAATCCATTAAGACTGACAGCATTTACATTCAAAAGTAATACGCTTCATCAATTATAATTTTGCTTAAACATCTATTATTTCAATAAGAGTTGAACATTGACATCTACTCAGTTTCCTCATTTACAAACACAGCACATGAATAATTTCTTAAGTGGCTAACTATAAATGCAGTGCAATTTGGTGAGGCTGTCTATCCGTTACGTTTCAACAGCCAAATTTGTATGCAGCTGTATTCTTTTTGGATAATTTAGTGTCTCAGCACACCATACTTACGGATTTGATATACAAATGTGATACCATACACCCAAAATAATTTTCTCAATTTCTCATTTACAAACACAGAACATCGATAATGTTTTACTAAGTAGCTTATTATACATGCAGTTTGTTAGAATGTTCTTTACTAAGATTAAATATAATTCAATGAACACAAAATATATTGGCAATTTTAGTAGTTCTGTTGCTATTGCACGACAAATTTGCGTTTCTCGACAATCAAATTTTATCACTTGCTATATAATCACTTGAAATATTTTAACAAATTTATTTAAAACATAAATTGTTCTTTTCTTTGGCATTTTTGTTTCAACAAAGATTTTCCCTCTTCCAAAGCTGAATTACGGAAAGTTTCAGTACCTTCCATGGCAAAGTTTGATGAGGTCCATGATTATTTGTTAAAAACTAATCATTACAAAAATATTAGGGCGTCTGCCGTGCAGACCTGTACCTTTAAACACGTCATATATAACGTCATATTTTTCACGGACACGTTTAATTGGGATTGTAGTGAAACCTCACAGTCGGGGCTCACACGGATCGTGCCTCCTATAAAGACATTCAATTCAGAGTGACCACGATTTGCTTTTCTACAAAGCTTCTTTAAAATGGAAACCTGGAATGTATTAAGACCTGGTGTTGTTTGCGTTCTGATCACGGCAGAGCCTGTGCGAAGGCAAGATTAGTGGATTTTTGTTCAGTGTCTTGCTACACAGTGATAATTATAATGATGTATAGTTTGATAATGGTGAAAATACCCAGCAGGCACCAAACGTCAGACTGACGTTGTATAACGGTTGTACTATGGTCGCAACGTCGGATCAACCATTCCTAACCGAAAAACAACGTTGTTTTGGTAGACCAAAGAAAACGTTGTCATTATAACGTCTGCCAGACGTTGCTTTAGTGTCGGCAATTTAACGTCAGAATTTGACATAACAACAACGTCACAATGTAGTAGGAATTTGGTCACAAATAATACGTAACATAGTTTCAACCATGATATGACGTTGTTTTGTCAACGTCTTTACAACGGCCTGAAAAACAACGTTGTATTATTGTCATTATTATGGTTCCCTTCAAGACGTCACAATTATGTCATGTTTTCAACCAAGATATGACGTTCGCTTTCTAACGTCGTTTCAACAAATCAAAACACGACGTTAAATTGTGGTTGGCCGTTGGTTATAATATCTGACGTCGTACATATGTCATGCTTTCAACTAAAATGCAGCGTCCGTTTTTTACGTTTTTTCAACTACTAAAAAAATGACGTTGAATTATGGTCGGCTGCTGGTTACAATATTTGAAGTCGTTATGAGGTCATGTTTGCATCTAAGATATTACGCCCGTTTTCTAACGTCGTTTCCGCGATTCAAATAACGACGTTGAGTTCTGGTCAGGGGATGGTTAAAATATTTAACGTCTTTATTATGTCATGGTTTTCACCAAAATATAACGTCCGTTTTTGACGTTTTTTCAACGTTTTCAAAAGCGAAGTTGAATTGTGGTCGGCTGCTGGTTATAATATTTGACGTCGTTATTAGGTTATGTTTTTAACCATGATATTACGTCCGTTTTCTAACGTCGTTTCGACGATTCAAATAACGACGTTGAATTCTGGTCAGGGGATGGTTAAAATATGTAACGTCGTTATTATGTCATGGTTTTCACAAAAAAATATAGCGTCCGTTTTTGACGTTTTTTCAACGACTCCAATCGAGGTTTTATTGTGGTCAGCTGCTGGTTATAATATTTGAAGTCGTTATTATGAGGCCATGTTTGCATCTAAGATATTACGTCCGTTTTCTAACGTCGTTTCCACGATTCAAGTAACGACGCTGAGTTCTGGTCAGGGGGTGGTTAAAACATTTAACGTCGTTATTATGTCATGTTTTCCCCAAAATATAACGTCCGTTTTTGACGTTTTTTTCAACGACTCCAAAAGCGAGGTTTTATTGTGGTCAGCTGCTGGTTATAATATTTGACGTCGTTACTAGGTTGTGTTTTAACAATGATATTACGTCCGTTTTCTGACGTCGTTTCCACGACTCAAATAACGACGTTGAGTTCTGGTCAGGGGATGGTTAAAATATTTAACGTCGTTATTATGTCATGGTTTTGACATTTTTTTTTTCAACTACTCGAACAGTGACGTTGGATTATGGTCGGTTGCTGGTTATAATATTTGAAGTCATTATTAAAGGTCATGTTTTCAACCATAGTTACGTCCGTTTTCTAACGTCCTTTCGACGATTCAAATAATGACGTTAAGTTCTGGTCGATGGATGGTAAAAATATCTAACGTTGTCATTATGTCATGGTTTAAACCAAAATACAACATCCAAACGTACGTCTTGGCTCCGAGCCAAAATTCCTGCCCCGCGCGCCAAATGACCAAAACATCGCGCGCGCACCGCGCGTGCGTGAGCATTATTTACGCCCTGTGTGTGACCTCTTGCATTCCATCCAATACTACACGAGTCTAGCAACTTCGAAACAGCTCAGTTCGGGAAAAGACGTGGTGGGTCAAATGTCGAAGTTTTGTGGGCACATTGCAACAGTCATTGTCCTACAGTATATGCTACTTGATGACAAGATCATGTTCCTGCTAATCTTAACTTCAAGTCAAGATACGACATCAGGATGTATGGGACAAGCACAAGATTCGATTGAACTGCAATTATCAAGATTACTACGCAGGCGTACAATATGGTCGGCTTTTGCAATGTACCGGTCTGAAAAACGGTAAGTTTCTAATGCGATTGTTTCCGAGTTAGGGATTTGAAATTTCTTTTAAGGACGGGATCGAGTAGTCTTGAAATGTTATCCTGACAGTGATATGTACAATGGGTTCCCTTCTGTAGGCCTACTTACTTGTATAACATAAAAATTCAATGGAAAAATACTTCAACTTCTCATTGTTGAAAGTTGTTAATGTTTGACGCTATTGTCAATTCTTATTTCAAATTCAAAGTTACACTTACGGTGCCCTTTATTTAAACATTGAAATCTAGACAATCTAAGCTAATCAGCAGTCATGCATGTTCTGCCCGCCTTCCATCATCATGTCCAAGCTGCATTTAAGCCTAAAACTGCTGTCATTTAACGCACATCTCAACATGAGACATATTTCCTACACTATGTTGATCGATAACTTAAATATTCCAAATCTCACTACCGCACTAACTCAAATGAGGACCTTGTGATGCTTGCAGTTTTTAAAATTTTTATATTCTTCGAATTTTTAAGTTTTGTTCATTTTCTTGGAATCGCATGGAACTGCCCAGTATACTTAAAATATGCATGTCTTCTTCATAAGAATAATTGTTTTCTTCGGATCTCTGAAAATAAATTTGCCGCTGCACTTAAATTGGCTTACATAAAGAATCTATTTTGTTTTAATTATTTGCAAGTCACAAAAAATATTTTTGAATGTGTTGGTATTCAAGAAAATTCACAATTTCATTCATCTCCTTTTAATTTTCCAGCTCATCTCTGCTCTTTGCAATTGATGGAGAAGAAACATACTACCCAAGCCCTACCATACGTGTCAACAATCATCAGAGAAAACATCAAGATCGACGGCCTGATGTCTTCTACCTCCACACATATTCAAAAAAGAGATTAGATCTCATGTCTGTGTTTTAGACGTCTAAATAAATTACACTTTCAACCATTAACTGACCTCAATTCAACAAAGAATCTGACGCCCTGTCGACGTCCATTTAACCAGTTAATCATGGTCAGACTGACGTCATGATTTGACCATATACGGATGTTAGATTTTGGTCATGTTTTCAACGTCTAAAAAACTTTCAAAATCAATTATAAAATGACCAAAATCTGACCATGAAATCAGACGTCAGATTAACGTCAATCAAACCAGTAGGATTGACGTCACAACCCGACCATAAACAGACGTTATTATTTTGTCAGATTTCAACGTCTAAATAACTTACAAAATCAATCATTAGATGACCAAAATCTGACCATGAAATCTGACGTCAGTTTAACGTCAATCAAATCAGTAGGATTGACGTCACAACTCGACCATAAACAGACGTTATTATTTGGTCAGATTTCAACGTCTAAATAACTTACAAAATCAATCATCAAATGACCAAAAACTGACCATGAAATCTGACGTCAGTTTAACGTCAATAAAACCAGTAGGATTGACGTCACAACTCGACCATAAACAGACGTTATTATTTGGTCAGATTTCGACGTCTAACTGACTTTCATAATCAATTATAAAAGGACCAAAATCCAACGTCAGTATTGGTCAGAATCAAACGTCGCTTGGACGTTAAACCGACCAAAAATGCCTGCTGGGTACTTGAATATCACAAATCAAAATGACCAAAAAAAAATAAAAAAATAGAGTTTAGACATTATTGAGATCATAGTTAAAGAGGTCTGTAATTTCCTTTAAAAAGATGAGGGGGTTCTTCCATGCATGTCTGATTCTAACTTAAAACACGCCAAATGATTTTTTTTTTAATGGCCACGCTTAATTGAGATTTGATTAACTTTCATTTTTGGAGCTCAAACGAATCGTGCCTCAATGTAGCGTAGCGCTATTGCATGTTGATATTTCCCACGCATCTCTGTTCAATGGAGCGTTATCTTAAGGTACCAGCTTGCACAGTTATAGCCACTGGTAGATGGAGCTTGACAAAAGTGGTATCGGAGACCAAATTGGTTTTCTGGCTCTTTGGCAATACGGATGACACACTTTAGCTACTCGTATGCAAGTGACAGTGACACAGCAGAAAGCATTTCCGAGTGTGTTTTGATATGTGCCCTCATGAAAATAAAGCATCATAGTAACAGCTCAGGCTTACAAGAGGAATCAACTTAACTTACAGTCTGATCACTTAACCACTGCACAAAGAGACCAACCGAGTAAGATCTGAAAAATGAGGATGCATAGACGGTTCATTGTTGGCTTGATAATCCTTCATCTGATGATGGGTTGCACTGATGCTAACGAGGCGTTTAAGGCCTCCATTGGTCGTAAATGGGCGTGTCCTCCTCCCTGGATCCTGTGGGGTGGCAATTGCTACAGAGCCGTCATGGAAGATCTGACATGGCTCCAAGCAAAAGAGAAGTGCACCAAGGAGGGAGGTTTCTTGGCGGTGCCACGGTCTCTGGAGGAAACTGATTTCTTCCTGCGCCTATTACCATACAGGTTCTGGATCAATTGCAATGATTTCGACAATGAAGGTTTGTAGGTATTTGGAACTTGGTTCTTAAAAAATGAAAAAATAAAATATTTTGAAGTTTCTTCAATCAGTAGTATAGTATTTTCAAAATGTTTTGTTTTTCCTCTAAAATGCCCGTTTGTCACTTTATACATGAACAATATCCTCTCTCACAACTGATAATGTAGTTACCAACGGTTGACATATCACCAATTGATAATGTCATACACATTGACTGATACTGTATCACTAACCGATAATGCAACAAAAGTGTACCGATAGTGTAGTAAAATGTACTACACTATCAGTCTATTGTTGTTACATTATTGGTCCGAACCCATAATGTAACAAAAAAATACCGATAGTGTAGTGACATTTAATATACTCTCGGTCAATTTCTGTTACATGATCGATTAGTGATACAGTATCGCTCAATTCGTGTGACATTATCAGTTGTGACATTATCAGTAATGGTAACATCCTCTCTGAGTGATCCCCGTGTGATATATCCCCGGTTTGCAGCATTGCTACTGTTGGCACCGGAGGTCGCAGGTTAAACACGTGTTCCTGTCATTTGTTTTTTCCAACTTTTGAATTTTGTCGTTTTTTTTAGGTACGTGGAAGTGTGAGGATGGCACCAATGGGGTGGAGTTCAGGAATTGGGCGGCTGAAGAACCTAATGACAACCACGGTAATGAGGACTGCGCTGAGGTATACACAGGGAAATGGAATGATGGGACATGGAATGATCAGCCATGCAATGTGATTCGCCGTGCAATATGCAAAGCTGCCACCAGCCCGCGCTGCACTTTCTAAATCTATGGTATAGAGGGTAAGTCAGAATAATCTGGACCCAAATTAAAGACAATATTAAATTATGTACATCACAATTAGCAAAACAAGTGCGAATGAGATATGTTAGAGGCTGGTATTTTGGACATATTTGGTGAAAGTTTGATATATATATATCCATTGTACCATCATGAAGAAAAACGCTAAGCAAAGAAAACACGCTAAAAACACTCTGGCCACGGTTCCATGGTTCAACAAATGTATTGAAATTGCGTACTGGTGTGAAGCAGTGTAATAGATAAAAACCAAGACATGGTGACCGACTCACTTGAATTTTTTGAAACTTTTTTTAAAAAGGCAAAACCAATTCCTAGTGTAGATTGAAAAATGAGACACTTCAATGAAAATGCCATGATTCCTCACCATAGCCACTAAATAAAAAAAAATAGTAGTTTGTGTAACGATGTTTAAGAAGCTACGTATTTCGTTTTAATTAAAAAAGTCTTTAACAAAATTAATAAATTCCGTGGCACTGTTTCTAGATGGGGTTTAATCAGGGTTTAGACCATCGGCGAATGAACCTTTGAACTAAATTTCAAATTGAGACACACATTTATTACGTGAAAACATTGTCCTTTGAAGCAAATCTCAATGACGAAGTATGTTTAATATTTCCCTCCACTAACGCCCCCTTGTCAGTACACTTTCTGTCGTACCAGTTCAGTTCAATTTTTGATCCTATAGCGGTTGTCGATGTTAGGAGGGTTTATCACATCAGGCGTATGAGGGAAGTACTGCGAAGGAATTAGGAATTAATTACTGATTTAAAGAGCCTGTTTCTCGATCCGACCGAGTGCAATGATAACTCTTCTTAACGTTGCTATCAGGTTCAAGACATGGAAAGTACAGACATGATAAACCCCAAATCGCAAACTAAAGAAAACTATAACAGCTTCAAGAAATGTATAGATATTTCTGTATGTAGCTTCGAAGCAAGTGCGTTATTTTATCCATGACTCCAATACACCTGCTTATACCATAGCAAAGGAACTATTGCTTACTCTTTCCTGTCGTCAAAATAACTAAAGGAAATTCTGCAACCCATGTTATCTAATCTTGTCTGTAAGGTTTTTAGGCCCACGGATAAGTTTAATAATTTGTGAACTCGTCTGTTGGCACTAGGATGAGCTTGGTATATTCAAATTCACGTGGTTGTAACTGTAGCATTTGGCTTACCGTAACAACATTCAGACGCGAGGGAATGCTGGATAATATTTGGGTTATGTTTGTGATTCACGAGTGTTAGAAATGTATAACTACATTTTAAGTACCTTCCTATATGGAGGCATGCGGTTTCTGCTATTACATTTACCGAATCAACTGGTTAATATTGGCGTCAATCCTCTAAGCCACTAGAACAGAATTTAATTCAATTTCACTTTTAACGTCAGGGATCTCGCATCTGATGAATTGGTTCTATACAGAGTGGCCTACTTGTAGCAAACTGCCGATCGGTGTGTCCTTGGGCTCCGATTCAACGCATGCATTCATCTTTCACCGTAATGAAACTGGGCGGGAAGAACTGACAGAAATATAATGCATCTAAAGACCAAGTGATTTGGTCAAAATATTGAAGTAATAAACAGAGTCGGAGCCTACGTTGGTGTGGAGATAGCGCCCTCTATTCGCGACTGAATTCGCCTTTGGCAAAGTTACCTGAGGCAAATGCCATTAGAGGGCGCTTTTCAAGATACAAATGAACTTTTGAATCTTTTCAAGGTTGTGCGCGTACGTCTCTTAATATTACATCCAAAAGAGCATTTCAAGCTTCTGTCCTGTTTATTATCAGGTTTTTTTTTAAATGAGTCAATAAACTTGGACGACCCCATAAAATGAACTTATAGTTTGGAATACAATAAATGAAGCTAGCGAAGCATCTCAGGGAATTTACGGGATTTTTTTTTCCTTTCAAATTAGTGTGATAGAACTCCAAAGTCGCAAAACCAACAAGTTGCGGGTTTTACACGGATTGATGTGGGGAAAAATTACATTCTAAACGAAAATAACGGATTGGTGTTAATAAAAAAAATCGTACGTAAGTTGAGAGAAGCACACAATTATCTTACAAGGTGATTTTTTCACGTAATGCTCGCCGGTACACTTGTTTTGAAAAATGAAAGATATTGGCTAATACTACGAGAATTGCCCATTTTTCGGGACCATGACGTCACGCACACTGACCAACTGAATAAGATTCGTGTGCCAAGTTCTGATTTCATGGGACACTACTGGGTAAGACTCACAGTTTGTGAAGGCCACTTTTAGATCGGAAGTACCAGCAACGGAATGCACTTATAGGTGGCCCAAATAAATATTATAGGTTTCCTGCTTTTCAAACTGTATATGATCCACTGAGGTGGAACTTCAACGGGTTAGTCGTCAAACAAACAACTGTACCTTTAAAATTAAAGATGTATGTGCAAAAGGTTTCAACAAAATATTGTTGGAGTGTTTAAGACATTGCAAATGATTAATTTATCTCATTCAGATTTATCGGATCAAATTCGTACTCGACGAATGTTTTAAATTCACAGACTTGTATAAAATGTAGCAATGTAGTTAGGTCCTCGGCTCCAATGGTATTAGACATTTTTTTTCTAATGAAACATGCGGCGGTCATCTTGAATTTCAAAACGACGGTTTTTTTCAGATTTTGCACAACAGCTTCGGATTTTGGAGGCAAATCCCTATTTTATAATTGATAAGAAATCATTGATGAATGGCGGGTATCTTTAATTTTCCTTCAAAAAGGTCCCTGCTTCACACACGAAATAGCATAGTATCTTTGCATATCTAGAAGTCACATGTGGTTTTTTTGGTTGCAAAGTCCAATTGTTTATACCCTAGTATACCAAAAAGCCACCAAAAAGCCTTTATGTGACTGAGCCAACACCGCCGCACGATTTATGGAAAATATATTGTTTTCAATGGTAACATCTTTCAAAGTATAAAACAAATTCCATCTTTAACAATATGAATAATGTACTATATCTGATATTTTTTAATCAGCGGCAACAAAAATCTTCAATTATGTCAAATACTGTACAATCTGATATTCTTTTAATCAGCGGTAATACAAATGTTCAATTATAAGTTCGCAACGATGGAGGAACACTTTTTTCACGATAAGTCTATATTATTTATTAGTCTATATTATTCTATTTTTATGATAGTAATTGTCATTTAAATGCAATCCTTGAACAATGTTCTCGATTAAAACCAATTGAACTAAAATCATAGGAACTCTTTTCATTGTGTATAATGGGCCTTAGCAAGAAGTATACCCTGCTATTCCCCAAAATTGAAGTGACCAAAACAATTTTAGTTTTCTTTTCCATCGCGTTCGAAAACAACTAAATATTTTATATGTTTTTGCAGAAACATGAACTTATCCCTTGTACATGTCTTCTAAAATACAATTCTAGTATTGATGAATTCTTTTAGAGGATTTTGCAAATGAACTTTGAAGAAATTTCAATTAAAAAAGATAAATACCTTTACTTTCAGTGACCATAATGATTTGTATCCCAGTCCTTTTGTTTCGAATCAGGGATCAAAGGTATTCAGTCTTATTTCCAGGTCGTGCTCACCGAGTGCAGCTGGTTACGAGTTTGCATACTGCAGGGCGTTGCTTTTTGCATTCAGCATCATTCCATTTCCCTGCGGGGTATGGAACCACCTCACCACAGTCCTCTATACCTTTACCGTTATCAGGTTGGTGATTTTCTGTTGCCCAATTTCTGAACTCCACCTCACGAGGACCATCCTGACACTCCCAAATACCTGTAAAAAAAGTCAATACAACAATCAATATCTAATGGAGGTTGAAATTTACTAAAATGAATCTTCAAACTTCGACAATCATGCAGAAGACGATAGCGCTTGCCTTCCACCCGCCCCCACTTACCCCACTTATAGGTCTGTCCCCCCCCCAAAAAAAAATGTTCTTGCATAGAAGCCTGTATTTCTATACCAACGATTGAACCACGAACTCCATGCATGAACTTAAAATTTCAACGAACCTTCTTCTCTGATGTCATTGCAATTGATCCAAAACCGGGGTGGTTGTAGGCGCACAAGGAAATCAGTCTCCTCCTGGGTCTGTGGCGCGACCAAGACACCTCCCATCTTGATGCACTCATCTTTTGCTTGAAACCATGTCAGGCTCTCAGTGATGGCTTTGTAGCATTTGCCGCCCCACTGGATCCAAGGAGGAGGACACGCCCATTTACGACCAATACCGGAGGCCTTGCACACCTCGTTACCACCGCTGCAACCCATCATCAGATGAAAGCTTATGAAGCCAAAGATGAACCGCTCAGGCACCATCATTTCTCACATCTTACCCGGCTGGTGTCTCGAGCTAAAATGATGGGCTTGCACGTTCACTAATTACATTGGAGAGCTCCGACTCTGTATGAACCAAGTAGTCAAATTAAAAACCTTTAGTGTGACCATGAAACGTGTCAAATAACGAGAAAGATGCATTATTTATTGAATGCAACCAGTTGGTAAATGAATATCGATCGAGGCCCTTACTTTTTGTGAGAGCAAATTTAATATAGAGAAGTGACAGCTAGTGGGCAAGATGCAGTATATTTCTCGCCAGTTGTTCTCACTTAATTCAATACCGCGAATATGAATGCATTCGTTATATAGAAACTCAAGGCAGACGCCGTATGCAATTTGCTGCACAAGTAGGCCACGCTGTATTACAACCACTACACTAGATGAGAGATCCCTGATATTATAATGAAACGCAGTTAAATATCGTTAAGGTTCCATCATGCCGTAGATCTTACCCGACTGGAGTCTCAAAATTAACTTTTGGGCAACGCTCAACCTCTTATAATAATAATAATAATAACGGGCATTTATACCGCGCCATTATCCGCCATAAATGACGCTCATGGCGCAACCAAAATTATATCAAATCAGAAATAACAAAACAATTAAATTTAACTAAACAAGAATATTCTGAGTGGTCTGAAACAAATATCTTTTTGGCAATCTATCGAGCATTTAAATTTGTCATATTAGGACACAAGCACAGACACGAGGTCGAGAAAATGGCCGCCATGTGAGAAGGGCTGATTTATTATGCACAACAACCAATAGTGTCATTCAATAGAGGGTGCACTCTACATCCGGTGTGGACCATTACATTACAATAACATTTTACTATAAAACCAAAACCCATTACGACTTTACGAGTATCTACAGTGGCATTACGAAGATGCATCATTTTTTTGGTTCAAGAAGATGTCGCTCAGTTTTCATTTCTGTATTATGAATATGCGTGGTCGTTGAATACGAATTCCTTGTTGACATCGATTGGCAATTTGCCACATGTAAGCCACGATGTAGTGACCCTGTTTGTCTGACACTCAGACAGGTTCCCGGAGCCCAGTAGCTAGTTCCCATTTATAGCCATCGAATTGATCGCCTGAGCGCGTGCTCAGTATCATTTTTTATATTTTTCCAAATGTGTACAAAAAAAATGGTACAAAAGCGTCCTCTCTTGTTGGCGCATGAAGCCCTTAGGGTGCTCTTTTCAAAGCGGACGATCATGGACACCTTTGGACAATAGGTGGCGCTTTTCATCCCGGCACATGATTGTGCCGACGGACATAAGATTCTGCCCACAGGAGGACAATTTTGCAGACACACAAAACAAAAACACGCAGGGGGTGGTGTGGCCGAGATCTATCGGAAATAAAAACTGGTTTGAACTGTTTTAGCTTTCAGGTTAATGCATTGTTTTCCTTATTTAAGGCCTCCTTAAAGTAAATGAACACTTCTAATACGTATTATAATTATAAGAAGTCATATTCACAATGTATAGATCTTAACAAACGTATCCTTTTACAAACACAGCGCAATATCAATATTGTGTCATGTAGCTGCTTGTATACATGCAGTCTTTTAAACAGATGTTCTAAGTACTAAGCATGTTTAAAAGAATCAATTAAACTTTGGTAACACTGAATTCTAAATAGTTTGTAAAAAGTATAAAGCAGTAGCTCAGCATCTTTCAGTTTTGTTTTTCTTTTGAAGTTAGATTCTTATGTGCAGAATGTAACCAGAAAGATTAGCCATTTCAGTGGTTACCAGCATACATCGTATTTGACCAATCACATCACGCACCCTAACATGAATATTTATCAAGCTGCGGAAGACACTTAGGTTCTCGTAGTGTTTTCCTTTCAATTAAACGTATCCCAACCAACAATCATATTAAACTTGACACAGGTTCGAACCATAAATCTTGCGATCCATAGTTCATCCCACTATCCACTAGAAATAGGCCACTGTGGCACCTTGACAAAAGCCGTTCTTTGAAAGGCTTCAATGTACATGCATGAGTGAGCTATAGCAATGGTGTGATGTCATTGTTATTTTCTTATGGTTAAACATCGAACTAGCTGATAATCATGATCTAATGACGATGTGTGCTGTAGAAAACAAAAACACTGCTACCGGTTCGAATCCTGTAATAGGCACTGTGACTCTGCTGTTCCCTTCAGAGTCGTTGTGTTCTAGTGGATGCAGGTTTGAATCCTAATCATTAGTGATTAGTGTCAACAGTTTTATTTACCGGTCCACATGGGTTTTAGAAAGTGCAGTCTTGGCGCAGGCTGGTTGCAGCTTTGCATATTGCAGCACGTTGCCAATCACACGGCATGTCATTCCATTCCCCAACAGCTGAGGTTGTCACAGCACAGTTTTCATTACCTCTGGCGTTATTAGGCTCGCTATTAACCGGGTCCCAATTCCTGAACCCCACCTCATCAGTACCATCCTGGCACTTCCACGTACCTTTCAAAAACAACACAACGATATACAGGTACAAAGGTGGGAATTGACGAAGTAACAAAAAACCTACAGGAAAAAAACATCGTATATATTTGTTTTCAATCCTAATATTAATATCGACTGTCTTTGGTTGAGGAATAAAATCATAAAATTAAAATGCAAAGATCCTTTGCAACTAACCTTCTTCCACGATGTCATTGCAATTGATCCAAAACTCGGGTGGCAATAGTTGCATGAGGAAATCAGTCTCCTCCTGAGATCGTGGCGCGACCAAGACGCTTCCGATCTTGGTGCACTCATCTTTTGCCTCGGACCATGAAAGATGCTCCATGATAGATGTGTAGCATTTGCCACCCCACTCGATCCAAGGGGGAGGGCATGCCCATCTGCGACCAACGGAGGCCTTACACATCTCGTTAAAACCGGTGCAACCTATCATCAGATGAAGGCTGATCAAGCCAAAAATTAACCGCTTAGGCAACATCATTTCGTAAACCTTACCCGGTGGCGTGTAGAAGTGAAATGGACAAAATGCTTTTCACGGTGAATTGTTGTATAGAACATGTCCTCGACTCAGATATTTTCTTTTAATTACGAAAGTGAAGGTGTCAAAACACGCTGGAAACCTGTCTCCTTTTGTGTTATTTGCAGTGTAAACTAGCCAAGTATCGATCAGTCCCATCAACAATTGCGACTCTCGTTGGAAAGATTCTGCCAACGAGACATCTAAGAACATGACCCAAGGACAAAATGCATCGAAACACGGGCGTTGCTAGACCATTTTAAATGGAGGGGGGCATCATGAAATTTGCCGAAGGACCGTCACGCAAAATGAGTGTAATTGATTACTTTCGCCCAAAATGATGACTGCCTGCGAGCGAGCACATGCTTGTGTTAGATCAACCGTCCGTAAATGAAGCGACCTCGCGCGTCTGCTCGTGCCGACATGACAGAATGTACAATCTTTTGCCATGGGTTGCAGAACCGGATTATAGCTTCGCGGGGTTTTGAGCAGCGGTGTTTATTATTTATATTCCCCACTATTACTTCTTTCTTCTTCCTTTCCCCTTCCTTTGCCAAAGTTCATTTCTGCTTTGCCGACAGCACCATGATTTTGCCGACAAAACTGACTAATGGGGGTTTGTGACACCCCTATGAAGCGACGCCCATGTGCATCAAATGTGCAGACGATCTCGTTCAAGCCTGTGTTTCATGTCCTCACACATTATAATGATAAACAGCCATTTTCTGTTTATACTGTCGATGCAATATGCTGCGATCATAGAATTTTTTTTGGGGGGGGCAGGGGGTTCAAACGTGCATTCAAACAAAATCGCACCTAGATTTCAATTGCATCAATATATTATAAATATAGGTTTTTCCGGCCAATTTCCTTAAATGTTCATTCACTTCTGAAAATCGATGTCGTTCATTTTCGTCTGACTTTGAACGCACGTCTTTAATTTCATTTCAATTCAACGAAAGTTCCGTGCATTCGGTTTTGAGAAACAGGCGGCCAATTACGTTACCTGCGCATTCATTTACGCATACATACCTTTTCGCGCAGAGTTCTATCAAAACAGCAGATTGCATCACATAACATTACACTAAAATTGAAATAGAATTTTCAATTTCTGAAATCACCCTCTAAAAGCAAAAAGGAATGTCTTGTAATTGAATCTGAATGAGCATATTAAAGGAAATGTGCTGCTCAATCACTTAATTGATTGAACTGAAATGGAATCGAATGCTCTGGTAGCGAAAATGAAACGCGTAGTCAGAAGAAAAAGGAAATTGGCCGGGAAAACCTATTTTATTGCGTATCAAAAGCAATTGGTGCTTTCGTGTTTGCAATTTTAGGTTGCTCGTACCATTTGGAGGAAATCAAAAGAAGCACATATTTTGAAACAAAACGAATTATGGGTGCAGAGATTTAAAGGTAAGTTGTGTGGGGTCATCACCACTGGCAACCCCGAACATAAATGTATTCATAAATATGGAAACAGCGTCATATTCATAAAACATTTTCAAGTTGAACATCAGGGTCTCGTATCTGACGAAATGGTTCTATTAATAGTAGCCTACTTGTAGGATCTAAATTGCCAATCGATGTCTACCTTGAGCTCCTATTCAACGAATGTATTCATCTTTCATGGTAATGAATTTGGCGATCGAGAAATAATGCCAGAAACATAATGCAGCTTGGTGACCACATGATTTGGTCGTATTGAAGTAAAAAAAAAAAGAATATGTGGTCATCGCGCTCCTCGATGACAAGTTGATAATTTTGATTAATTGCAATGATCTCGAGAAAGAAGGTAAATATATATATTTCGGATTCGTTTATAAAATATAGGTTTTCAACTCGCAAAGTAACTTCCTGCTTGTGAAGTTCTATTATTGGATGTTTTCCGCCTCCATATCAATCGTGTTATTGTTTTGATGGGCAAAATGGAAATGTCACAATGGCAAAAATGAGGTAATACTCAGGAATTGGGCGACTGATGGGATCCTCTGGTCAACCTCATAAACAGCACGGTAATTGATACTCTTTGATAACTTGAAAATGGAATGATTATCCATGTAACAGAAAATATAATGCAGTTTGCAAATTTGCAACCAACATTCGCAATCTCTACCATTTTTGGAACATATACAAGCTAAACACTGATATGCGTTTTGAGAATGACAACAATATTTAAAAGAAGCCGAAATGAAGGTCTTCAAATACAATAACTCGTACCGCTAAGATGTACCTCTTTTAATATTGATGAGATCAGGTTTCACGAGGTCCGTAATTTCTTTAAAATATGGAGAAAATTATTGGAACTTCAGTGCACGTCGGGGTTTAACTTGAAATACGTCCATGTGTTCAAATGACCATGAGATGTGATTAACCGTTCACTTTTTGAGCAAACAAGAATCGTGTCTCTTATATGGAGGCTCAAAGTAGCGTGACGCACTTGCGTGCTAATATCTCCCACGCATCTTCTAGTCACTGGCTTATTATCTTGAGGTTACAAACAGGAGCTATAACAAACTACACATCGGTGCATCTTGGTATAAAACGTGTGATGCCGTTTGGGCACCACATTTTCTCAGACCTTTCCCGCCTGGTGTCTAGTGGGGAAATAATTAGACTGCACGCGACTCCAATTACGACAAAATTACGTGATCTCAAAGCTCTATTTCGGGCTGTATTTCTCGATCGCCAAATTCATTACCATGAAAGATGAATGCATTCGTTGAATAGGAGCTCAAGGTAGACATCGATTGGCAATTTAGATCCTACAGGTTCTCTACTCTGTAAAGAACCATTTCGTCAGATACGAGATCCCTGACGTTAAAATTGAAAATATGTTAAAAGTCCATTCCAGTGGCTAAGAGGATTGACGCCAATATTAACCATTAAATTCAGTAAATTTACCAGCAGAAACTGCCTCAACAGGAACGTACCTAAAACGTAGCTATAACAGTACGCATGTTGTCCAGCATCCCTTTGCACTCAGAGTAAGCCTGATTCCTCCCCGCCCAGCCCCCCCCCCCCCGATCTCGGCCATTGTGGGACGACAATTTATGAAACTCGGTCCATGCATAGAACAACTTAATGTAAACATACCCAAGAAATTATATGACTATAGGTTAAAGGTTTTGGAATTATTGGCTAATTAATTATTCATATGCACCAATGGTAATTCTGGTTTGAGTGCACTACATCTGGGAAAATTTATTTTTCACGGCGGTAAACCATGGTCGAAATTTTATGTTTTGGTATCAAAAGATGCGCAAGACTCGAGGCTAAAATGTCAGGAAAGTTCGGGTGGGAAGGGGGGGGGGAGTTTGCAAGGGTATCGCAGAAAAAAAGTTGAGGGGGGCGAATTTCACCCCCAGACCCTTTTCGGGTTACAGACTCAATAAATGCTTGCTATTGTGTTTTGGCATTAGGGCCACAGTACAAACTAGGGGGCAGACCACGAGAAAAAAACACACTTATATATAATGTTTACGTTTATGGTTTTTGCCGTTGGGGAGCAGTTGGGACTTATACATGTAACACATATACTGTACACAACTACAATATACGTTTCCGCACCGATAGTTTCTTACAATTTTGGGAAGAAGTAAACTATACTCAGGTGGAAAGTAAGTGCCAAGAAAAATTGAACCGGATTTGTCTGAGATATTAAATACAAACGAACAATGGTTTACTTTACACAGGTCCATTATGTGGCTCCATTTTACAAGATAACTATTTTAAATGTTCATTTGACGTAAATTTAAATCCTACATCAAAGGACAAGAACAAAATGGCAATGCAATTATTACTTTTGATTACAGCGAGTGTTTGTTTAGATCAAACAAGTACCCTCTGAAACATCGTCAGACAATCTCTCTGTGCATTACTAAAAATTCACTGCAAGGTTTAGTAAATTACTGCAATGTGCATGGTTACACAGTATTCTTTAAATTCAACCAGTTCGATGGCGTAGCCACACTGTTAAAAATGTCCGTAAATTTACGGACTACGTAAAGTGAAATTGTCCGTAATTTTTGCGCTTAATTTTACGGCCTTTCCGTAAATGCAAATATTAATTATGCTAATTAACGTGATTACAATCAACCAAATTTGCCCAAACACCTACACAAAATAAAGAACATCTAAGTACATATTGTTATTTCACCCACAACCGTGTACTCATGTCCAAACTCATCTTAAGGGTCTGTTTATTTTACGGAACGAAAAAAGTTTTCCGGAAATTTTGCTGCCAGCAAAAAAAATAACGTTCCGTATTCCTGCAGCAAAATTTCCGGAATTGTTTTTTCTTTCCGTAAAATAAAGAAACCCTTAACATGAGTTTGGACATGTGTACACGGTTGTGGATGAAATAATAATATGTACTTAGATGTTCTTTATTTTGTGTAGGTGTTTGGGAAAATTTGGTTGATTGTAATCACGCTAATTAGCATAATTAATATTTGCATTTACGGAAAGTCCGTAAAATTACGGCAAAAAATACGGAATATTTCATTTTACGGAGTCCGTAAATTACGGACAATTTTAACAGTGCACGGGGGGGGGGGGCGTGAGGGGGATGGGGCGACAGCCCCCATGAAACCTTGTCCCCCCCCCCCCCCCCCCACTGAGATTTTGAGTTTCTAAAAAAAATATCATTGATCTACATGACGCCCCCATGAAATGTTCCAGCCTCCCCCCCCCCCCCCCCCCCCCCCCCCCCCCCCCCCCCCACTGAAAAAAATCCTTGCTTCGCCACTGAACTAGTTCAAGAACAATCTTTATACTCTTTGGGATTCCAAACTTGAAAATCTTTGATCACGATTTCTCTGTACCAAAATTCTTTCAATTTTTTACTGACACCTAAGGTATCAATAATTGACTAACTAATAAGTTGTATATATATTTTCCCTAACAATCTTCAATCACAAGAAGTTTATAACCAGAAATTAAAAGCCGTCAGCTTTATCAAA